CCCCACATTCATTTAGGGTTGCTGGTGGGACTGATGGGCATTATGGATTGCAGGGGGCCAATTTATATCTGCAGAACCAGTTGCAGATGCTGCCAAGCAATGAACCACTGCATTCTACATCAGGGGAAACTTACATCTTTCAAGGATAGGTCCTGTGTGTGATGCTTTTTTATATACTGACAAGAGTTGATGTTAAACTCTCTAATAAATGTAATATCAAATTGGACCTGATGTAGAATGTAGTCACCCATTTCCAAGCAGCATCTGCACTGGTTCCACAGATATAGGCTGTTCCTCTGCAAGCCATAACTCCCAGCAGTCTTGGTGGGCCACTTAATGTTTTTCTGCCCATTTTAAGAATTGTATTTCACTGTGATAAATGATGTATTATTTTTAATTGTATTTTCATTGCTATTTTTGGTTCTTACATATTTTGTATTCTACTGTATTACAATTTTAACTCCATAGAATTCAAATTTTAAAACAGTAAAATACAATAAAGAAGTGCAAAAATACAATTAAATATATGAAATGTGATGGATGTACCGTTCCCCCGTCTTTTAACCACAAATCTACAGGCATGCCATGGGCCAACTAAATGAGGCTCACAGAACACAGGTGGCCCAAGACCACACTTTGGGAATCCTTGACCTACACTGCTCTGAGCCTCTTGGAGAAAGGTCAGGATACAAATATAATAAATGTTCATTATTAAATAAATGGCCCAAGGCATAGTACAAACAAAACATGGCTACAACAGAACACAAAATCACATGGGTGGGAGACGATGATAGGACAAGACATGCTTTAAGTGTTCAAGTAATTTATAGGTGGTGCAAGTTGCAGTCAAATGAAGAATTCAAGCCATGCTTCCTCAGGTCAGAAGCCTCCTGCCTAACTCCACATTAAAGAATGAACCATGGGGATTAAGAAAGTGGAGAAAGTGGTGAATCAAGGGTTCCCTACGCAGTCCCTGGACTTGGGAATGAGCTGTGAAGATCAATACAGCTTCCACTAGGTGCCGCAGCAACTGAGCCAAAAAAAAGTCACACCCTCTCTAGGGACAGCCATGGAGGAGGAAGAGGCTAGTTTTGGAGGTTTTTTAGCTAAGCAATGAAGGGGTCCAATACCCAGAGATCTGCGGCCGAATAGAAACAGGCAGGTATTTATATAAAGTGGACGGAGAACTTGTTTCCCTTTTGGGAGTGGGGGGCATCCCTTATTTCAAGGCACGTCCATTCCAAGGAGGAGGAGGAGGAGGAGAGCGTTGGGCTCTTTCTGGCTGCTCAGGCGTGCTCTTTTATTTTGTGTTTGTTTTGCCTTCCGAGAGCAGCACGCTGCTCCCCGGGCGGGCGGCCGTCCCTCTCACCTGCGCGCCTCGTCCGCCCCGCAAGGGCGACCGACCAGGCTCAGGACGACGACGACCGAGTCCCCGACCCGCCCGCCTCCGGGGCAGAGCGGGAAGGAGGACGGCAAGGGAGGGAGGCGGCTCCTCTCACGCCGCGGAGGCTCCAGCATCTCCCGAGCCCGGCGTCAGCCGGTGCGCTCGCCTCTGCTCCCCCCCAGTCCCTCCCGGTGTCCCGTCGGGGCCCGTCCGGGCACCCCCCGCGGCCTCAGTTACCTGGTTCCCAGGGACACTTTGGAGACGCCTCCAACATCGGCAAACACTAAAGAGAACTGACCCCGCCGCCGCGCCTCGGCCGCCGCCGGCCCCAACCAACCGCTCCGTCACCCCCCCCGCCGGCCGGCCGCGGCGCTAGGCCCGCAGCCGCCGCGGCCTGCTCGCCGGTGCCGGCCGCAGGGCCACGGCCTAGAGCTCCCTGGACCATCCCGCTCCCCGGCCGCCGCGGCGGAAGCCTCCCCGCGCGCGACCCCCGCCGCCGCTCCCCCCCTCTCCTGGCGGCGCAAATGGCCCCGTCCGCATCCCCTTCCCTTCGCGCCGCCCGAGCGGCGGAGGACTCGCCGCGCCCCCCAGCGGCAGCTCCGGGCACCGCAGGGCTCTTTCCGAGAAACGTCGCTTGGGTCCGCCGGGTTTGTGGCCCCCCGCGTGGCGAGCGCCGTGGGCAGGAGCGGAGCGGAGCTGCTAGGCGCCTGCCGCCACTCGTTGCACCTGCATCGGATCCGAAACAGGAGCTCCCCTGCAAACGGAACGGACTGCGCTGGGTTGTTGTTTTTTCTTCCTTCCCCGCCCCCCCCTCCCCAATTGTATGCAAGCCTTTTGAGGATCAGGCCCTACGCTGTAGGCAAACTAGATTTACTCTTTAAGAAAAGTAGGTAGTTGGAGGCTGGAGCTTTCAAGGGCTCAACCCCAAACAGGCTCCCCGCAAAAATAACATTCTGCTTCAGCAATTAGTTCTCCACTGTATTTTGTACAATTTATATTTTTATCCCACATACTCCTCATTTTATCGTCACAACAAGCCTGCAAGGTATGTTAAGTGGAGAAGGGCAGTGATTGGCCTAAGGCCACCCGGTAAGCTTCATGACCTTTAGAATAGGGTGGCTCCCCACATCCAACCCCAAGGCTTGGACTATTTTGGCAGCAGAAGGGGAGAAAGAAAGAAAAATTACAGTAGACTCTGTTCCGGGGGCGGGCGGGCTGAGCCTAGCATCCTGATAAGGATGCAGATCTCCCCCTTCCTGCTCATCAATCAGTCATATTATGATGATGATGATAGTACTAATTAATAATTTTATAATTTATACCTGAGGGGGCATGGGGAGGATGTCTTTCTGTCTGTACTGCCTGCTCTCGATGGGGATGCACTTCCCTAGGAGCACATCTGTGGTTTGGGGGGTGCTCCTGGTTTCAACACTGTCACTGGAGGCTCAAGTGACTCAGGGTGCCTTGGACTTAGTGGCTTGGAGTGCCTTTTTCCATTTCCAGCTGCTTCATCAGCCATGGTCCCATTTGGGCAGTGATGACTGGGCCATGGTACACCAAGCTCTGATGACTTCCAGATTGGATTACTGTATTGCAATGCACTCTACATGGGACTGCCCTTGAAGATGACCTGGAAACTTCAACTGGTTCAAAATGAAGCAGCCAGATAGCTAGCTGGGGCTCCATTTAGACTTCGCATAACCCCCATTTTAAAGCAGTTGGATTGGTTGCTTGTTTGATTCTAGGCCCAACTCACTGAAGTGTTAAAAGCCCTCAACAACTCATGTCCCAAATTCCTGAAAGACCACTTTCTTTCCTACAGACCCCCATCCCCATGTGTTAGGATCAGCAGAGCGAGTGATAGTAAATTGTTCGAAAGTGTTTTTAACACTGTGTTTTAATTGTTGCAACCCGCCCTGGAACCTTATGATTAAAGGTGGGTAACAATACATGTTACTAAAGTTGCATGTAGAATCAAATGACTTAAGAGGATGTTATGTACTGAGTTGAATAGGATCCAAACTGCAGCAGTCTGATTGGTCCTAGAACAATGCAGCAGTATGATTAGTTGGCAGGAACCACCCAATCATGCTCCAGATATAAGTGAATCCACAACCTGATTGGCTTACAGTAGAATTCCAGAATTAGCCAATCATGTGCAGCCCATTGTGTAAATAATGTATATAAAGCAGATACTTTGAGGGGACATTCATTCATTCCTCCTCACCACTATGAGCTGAATAAAGAGCATGAAATCACTTTGCGACTGAGTATATTTCAGAGGACTAGCCGGAGGCTGCTGCCATCTTTCAGAATCTGATATATGAGGCAGCCATCTCACATTCCCTAATGGTAGGGCTAGTCTAGAAGGAAAGGGCTCTGCTTGACAGAGAACTGTAATCACCAGGACCTAGCTAATGACAGGCCACTCTGAAGAGGCCAGGCCCTTGTATTGTCTCCCCCACCCAATCTCCAAAGTAGTTCTAGATATTGCTTCTCCATCATTCTCTCCTCCATCAAAACCCAAACTTTGCCAAAGTAAGTCTTCAACAAAGAGGTTTTTGCCAGCCACTCGTGCCTGAAGGTAGCAAACTGTCAAACAATGGAATGGGTGGTCAATAGGTTTTTGGGGGATGTATTGATCCTAACAGTTGTATTTGAAATATCATGTGATCACTACAGGTAAACAAAATGCTGTTGTGCAAGGACCACATGCTCACCATTTTATAAATGTCTGCTCAGCAATGTGACTTGTACTGAGAAGTGCAGTGCTATGTCCAGTAATGGACCTGTACACGAGGCTCTAGTGATGACTTCTGATGAATGTGTGCCAAAATATAACTTTTGCAGAATTAATCGAGTCTATGTAATTTTAGCAAACGAATCCATGCATTTATTAAGAGTACTTCTAAAATAAATATATTAGGGTGATACCTGATTAATTTGCAGAGCAGACTCATTGAAATCAATGGACTTAAAATTATTCATGACTACATTGATTTCAGTGGGCATGCCTTCCTCATTTTTCAATTCATTGTAGGTTTGTCCTATTTGATAGCATTGTGTTTATAAAATAGTTTTAATTCTATATCTAACTTGCTTCAGTACTCTTGCCCAGCCATACTTTCAGATAGCAACACTGTAATTTCAATTCTGTGACTTTTTCCCCTGAAGAAAACACCTCCCTTGTTTTTCTGTCACTGCTATAATTCCTGGTCTTCCAGACTTACTTGCTGAACCACACAGCTGAGAAGCATTTAGTGGACAGAGAGAAGCCTGATAACATGGGTCCAGTTGCAGGCATTAGGGCGGCATTCTCAGTAAACATATTTCTTAGGCAGACTTGTAGCATACACTAAAAGCCTAAAAACAATGTAAGAATATGAAAGGTTATAATCCAGCTTGTTGCCTTTGCTGTGTATCTCCTTCAATAAAGAGAACAGGTCCTAGGAAAATAACAAATATGGACTCTAACAAGGAACATCTTTTTAGTACAGCAAATGATTGCATAGATATCTGCATACCTGCACAGATGTAGGCAATTTATGGGCTTTTGTTGACATGAACTATATCCTGACTCCTGAACAAAATTAGAGTTCTTAGTATTGAAGTTGTCATCCTTGTAATTGGCACCTAGACAGAATTGGTGCTCTGTTTGAAAAAGTACTTTATTGAGGAATAGGAATGTTTCAAACACAGATAATTTTATACATAAAGAAACAGACTACATCTCAATAAATTAGTTCAATTGTTCTACTTGCAGAAAATATCACAACTGAGTTGACCTTCTAAAGAAAGGATTTTTCAGTGCAATTGGACAATTTACACTGCAAATCTAGCCCCATGTATCTGAGTGCAAGCCCCATTGAAATCAGTAAGACTTGCTTCTGAGTAGACATGGTTAAGATTACACTGCAATTCTACACATAGTTACTTAGGGGGTAAGTTCTATTGCACTTGATGGAACACCATTCTGAGTATGCATGAATGGGATTGCACTTCGTGAAACATCATTGACAATAGTCTAATTATCTCTTCCTTTCTCCAGTTTTATGTTCAAAAACATTCCTAAAGGTTTTGAAGAACAATGTTTTCATAGCATGAATTTTGATCTGTTTTATTATTGACCAGAAAAGACAAGCAATTTTACAGTTCTACTGCTTAACTGCTGCTTTTCTGCAAGTATACCCACAGGGCATTCAGTACATTAATGAAGCCGGCACTAGACAAGACCACCAATTAAAGTGAAATCATTTGCTTACCACCTCATGCTTTTTAAATCCACAAAAGATGTGTGTCCTCCTGCAGTTTTAAGGAAGACACACAATTCAAAAGGTATTTGTTACTTCAGACACGTTATTCTCAATAATTCAGTCTGCATGCATGCTGACCCTCAGATGCAAATTGAGATTCTATTTCTCTTGAATTGTAAACTGTTCCAAGTTCTCTTTAACTTGAAGAGACACTTCTTTAAAAAATATATGAGTTGATGTACTTAAAAAGAAGTTGAAAGGAAGATTCAAGCGGATTAACTTCATTGAAAGGGCTTGCAGGCGTATTAAAACTGCAAGAACCAAAGTTCAGATAAAAGGTACACCACAGGTTGCACAAAAGGCATGATGTCCAAGAAGATGTCAGTATAGTTAACAAGTAGAGTCTGTCAGGGATGCTATAAAAGAAAGTCTTCATTTGAAGGAATGATAATGTAGGGCAAAGCCAGGACTGGGTGCAAAGATTTTGGCAAAATACAAGTTGACAGGCAAGTGGGGAAAGGGAATCTCAGGAGCATATTGTTTAAAAACATTAAGAAAGAAAACAACTCATTTAAATGTATCAGAATCAGGAAATTAGCCAGGGAGTTGTTTGGATCTTAGAGGGCAAGGGGGGTAGGGATAGGTTGAGAGGTAATACAGAAAAACTGAACGAAGTATTTGCATCTTCACTGCAGAAGTGGAAAGGTGGATACTATATATGGACAGGTTTCTTTTCCTGAGGAGTGAGTGAATCTGAAGGACGGAGTCAAAGGTGCCAAGAGAAGCTGAAGGAGTTACTGATGAGTTAATGATTAGCAAATCTCCGAGTCTGTATATCATACAGGAAGAGATCCAGGAAATAACTGAATAGTTATTTTGATGTCTGTTCCAGGTAAATTTGGGTAATGTATTATTAAAGCTAAAATTAGTAAACATATATAAGTACAGTCTTGCTGCAGAATAAGGATGGCTTCTGTAAAGGAAAGGCATGCCTTACCAATATGACAGATTTCTTATGAATCCCAAAAAGCATGTGAATAGGGTAGAATTCCAATGTGAAGTTAGCAGTGATTGAGTAGAATTTCTAAGTAAATTTAGCAGTGACAGGATAAGAAGGCAAGTCCTTGTATGGATTGGCATCTGCTGTGCTGGTATAGAGCAGGAAGCAGAGAGGAACAGACAGTTTTCACAATTAAAGGTTAGAAGTGATGTCCCGAGATGATTTGTATTGACACAAATGGTTTTAAAATAAGTCCTCTGGAGATAGGGATGAATAGTGAGATGGCCAAGCTTTCTGATCACATCAAATTATTCTACGTGATAAAATGAAAATAGATTGTGAGGAGCTCTAAAAGGACTTCTCCAAACTGGGAGAACGGGCATAACATAGCAAATGCAATTCAATATGAGTGCACATTGGGTCAAGAGCTCCTAACTTCACCTATTTGCTTGGTGTGCAGCAACTGTTAAAAATGCAAATTCCATGCTAAGGAGTTTCAGGAAAGAGATATGAAAAATTTAAAATTCAGTATTACGTCTTATATAAAATCTATGGTTCAACCACATTTAGAATAGTGTGAACTGTTTTGGTCAGCTGATTTCAAAAAGAGCAACCCAAAACTGGGGAAAGGGAAGCCAAATGATCAGAGGCTGGAGCACCTTTCCCAAAATAGAACGCTTAAGTGTCTGTGTCATTTAAGTTTAGGGCAAAAAAAGCTGATTAGCAGGGAGAAATTAATAACAATAATAATAATAATACCCCACCCATTTGATGGGTTCCAGCCACTCTTTAAAATTAAATATGTGTGCAGATAAAATGGGTAGAGATAAGCTTTTTTCTCCCACTTCCATAACGCACAAGGTTATCCAATGGTATAGATTAGCAGAACATACACAGTACATATTAATTCATGGAATTTGCTGCCATAATATATGGAGATGACCAGCAGCTAAGATAACTTTGAAAGATGTTTAGACAAGTTAGTGGAGGATAGGACTGTCAATTGCTACTAGTCATAATGGAATATGCTAACTCCAGGTTTGAAGACAGCAAGTCACCAGCTGAAAGATGCTGGGGCTGCAACACTAGAAGTGGGTTATTGCCTTCACGTCCTGCTTGCTGGCTTCCCAGGAGCATCTGGTTGGCTAATGCAGGAGGTGGGATGCTGGATTACATGAGCCTTTGGTCTGATTCTGCAGGTCAATTCTTATGAAACAATTTTCATTGCTGAAGCAAGTAATTTCATCCAACACAAAAGCAAGAAGAACTTCATTGTTAATATGAAGTCTTATGTTTGTGATTGCCTATTCCTGATTTAAATTACGATTAATAGTATTTTTAAATAACAATCAAGTTCTTTGAACACAACAGTAGCGTAAAAACACCCAGATACTTAATTTTTTGTTTAGGAATTTGTATTTAATCCATACTGTGATATTTATATAAATGAAAATATGTGCATGGATTGTTTTCAAGAATGGACATTAACATCCTTTTAAACAATTATACTGTAACATAATCCACAGTGTGGGAACAATTACATTAGTCTTTTAGATGGACAAAGTAATCTAAAGTTTCAGATCTATGAAGGTGTTCCTTCACTGTGGATTAAGAGAACAGATTGACATGATTAATTATGTAAATCTGCTTTACGGAAGAAAAAAACACAGTTTTCCAACATTCCTTAGATGATTTATGCAAATATGAAGATGCTGATTAAATATTCAGTGGTTACTGCTCATGCATACTATCAGTATGTATACATCTCTTAATGGATTGTTATAAATTAATTTACAAGTAAAAATATAGGATAGGAGAAAATTATAAAGAGATATACACCTTCCAATCCCTCAGTATATTTTTTTTGGCTTGAACAGAAATTGAAGAGTGATACTTCTCATTTTTTAAAGGAGGACTATGAACATCTACATACAAGTTTATACCCACAGCATCTATTCACTTTTGATTAAGAAGCCAATAAAGTTTCCCTCAAAAGAGAAAACATAACAATTTCTTGTTTAAAACAGCCCTACCAAATTGATAGTTTGTAATTCAGTGCCAATACAGAACACTTATTTTCTTCCATTTGACTTGTACCCACCCCTGAGTTTAATGATTATATTTGTTTTAAATATTAGAGAAGATACAGTAGTATGTACATATCTATAAAATTTGTAAGTTACAACACAGCAGTAAAAAAAAACGCTAGAGTATCTTCAGCCAATCCTAGTAGGTTCTTTTAAGCTAAGCTGACCTGGTTCTTACTTTAAAAATCAAGTAAGAGTTGTACTCAATTCAGACATTCATTTATTGACTACTAGGTTTGATTTTCTTTTTAGTGCAATAAGGCAACATTAAAAAGAGCTTTGAAATAGAAAGTTTGCATATGTGTAAAGGTAGTAAGTTTATAAAAGACACATCAGTGCTTCCTAAAAAGACAGCCTAGATGCAGTATCATAAAATTACACAGAGGTGAAGAACAATTCACTATTGTTTAACAATTGTTTTTCTATATAAAAGGTAAATCTAGTTGTAGGCAGATCTTTGAAGGAAAAAACCTGGAAAAATTGCTATGGCTGTATGGGACAAGGTAAGAAAAATATACTTTTGTCTAAACTTAAATAAAAAGATCCACACTTTTTTGTCAAAACAGTTCGTCTCTGTCCAAAATGTATTTTTTCCTTTATAGTACAGGATTAGAAGACAAGATAAATGTTTACAAGGTAAAGAAATAATTTACAAGAAAATATCTTCTGACAGCTTTTCAGTGAAAATATTGTTTTGTAACATTCAAATATGACATACAACACAACAAAAGAAACAGTGAACTCAAACAAAAAAATTCAAACGTATAAATACATGAAATATTGTGTAGGCAACAGGGCTCATGCTGAAGGCTAGTATGAAATAACAGTGTGCAATCTACTTGGAAAACAGCTCTAGTGTACATATTAACAAGCCCAATCATGGACTGCAGCAAATTCAGTTTTGTCACTGCCGTCTGTTCCAATTTTCAGAACAAAGTTTGCCTTGATTAAATCACCCCTACTCTATTTTATTCATACCTTTGTTTCAGAAATATAATACACACACAAAAGGTATCCATTTTACCATAGGGCTATAACATAGTACGTACCTCTCTGCTGATATAACTTGCGGGGGGGGGAGGGAATTCATTGTGAAAACATTGAGAGTTCAGTAAATATGCAATGATCTTATTAGTTCTTTAGCTAAGCATGTTTCAACTCACGCTGCTAGTTTTATGATCACAGTGCACAGAATCCAAATCTAAACAATTAGGTGGCTTTCAAAGTAAAGATAGGTTACTTTATAATCCCAATATACTTACAAACTTTTTGTAGGCCCTATCATGCGTCTAACTTTTCTTGTGGCAGGGGTATAAGATTCCTGATACAATCTTTTGCCGGCAATGGGTACACCAAAAACCGTCAAGAAATTCTTATTATTGCACAATACATGAAGACCTGGAATTCTCCCAAAAAATTTAAAGATTGAATTCTGACATTTTCTAACACCTGCATTAATACTGTATGACTAAGAAAAGCATGTCAGTAGCATGGACTGAACCAGCGATCAACATGCGCCCAGAATGCACACCAGTAAAAATGCAGTCAAGGGAAGTAGTCTTCATTGCCTATTTGTCACTTCCAGTCAGAGGTTAAAAGTTCAAAGACTGAATGATCAAAGTGCTCATTTTCTCAGTAGGACTATCTTCTGTTAGGAGTATCACAAAATGGTGGCATCAACAAGTGTCATCTTTAAAGCAAAACAAAAACAAAATTATGTACATATATTGATGTCCAAAATCTACAAAGTTATTTAAGGCCAAAATATCACCTACCAGCACATATGGTAACAAGATCAATATTTATTGATTTGCTTGTTCAATACAGAACCCTGTAAAATTATGAAAAACTACAGATTCTGGAAAAACAGACCACATAATTTGAACCAATGTATTGCTTTGTTCTGTTTAAATAAATTAAGGCCGATATGCAAAGAACTATGAACCAAAGCAGATTTTAGGGTTGCTTTTCCTCAAACAACAGTTCCTCCCTCTATCATTGCCATGGGACCTAGATTTTCAAGGAAAAAAGGTTCAGAATTCCACTAGGTTCTGCTCTTGAGCTTTCCCATCCAAGTCCAGCCACAGCAGATATTATCCCTGATAAGATACTCTGAATGCTTTTCTCTCATTACCCTCCTGGCTTGCACAGTGGGGAAGGAGATTTTGAAGAAGCACACGGGGAGAGGAAAGGGAATTGTTTAAGTGGAAGTCCTTGTGCAGTTGGATACAGTCCAATTAACTGGTACCCATATATAGCATGACCAGCAACTCCTTACATACACCTAAAATAAAAGGGGACTCTTTGTATGTTTCACTACTTGGCTGGGGACAGGAAGGGTTCTAGTGTTACGGCCTTGTTGAGTTGGTTCCAAACTGGCCATTCCACAGACAGAAGGCCTGTTGCACTTTGCAGAAGGGACAGAGATCCAGCAGAAGCTCCCTGCTGGTGGAAGGGGGGGAGGAACTAATTATTGCCAATTTCCCCTTCCTGCTGCAGTGTAGCCATGCAATCTCTCATGTTATTCCAGAGGATACCCCAACCCCCAGATTTTCAGGAGGCACAGGAAAGCAGAAATTAGTAGAAATTGCCTCGCCTCCTTGCTTCCTCTGGTAAAAGCAGAATTCCACCAGTTAGCTGCAAGCCCAGATCCAATTCAATCTCTGTGGATATCAGAGGCTTATTTTTACATAGGATACATGGGTGGCCTTCAATGAAATTTTACTCAGAGCAGACCCATTGGAATTAATGAACATGACTAAGCTAGGACTTAATTTTAAAAGATCTACTCTGAGTAAAACTTAATTGAAGACCACCCAGGATACAAAGTGCTGCCTTATATCAAATATGATAGTACTGTGTCCACTCACTGCCAGCAGCTTTCCACAATCTCAGGCATAGGTTTTTTCTAACTAAACATGTTACTAATGCAGCAAAGGATTGAACCTGGGGCTTTCAGCATAGCATGCAAGTGCTCTACCATTAAGCTATCACTCTTCCTCACATACAGTATTGTGTTCAGTAAGGCAAATCTAACCACTGTTATTCCCAGGAACTTCAAATGCTCTTAGATGCATTGCTTATTTCTTCAAGGTCAATACATACCATGATACCACCATTTTGTTTTCTTTGGATTCTTGTTACATGTTCTTACATAAAATGAATTATCAGGTGGTCGTCTCTGCAATAAAGGTCCATCAAGTCAGTATATTTCTGATATACAGTATAAGATTATACATACATGCAAAAAAGGCATTAATAGCAGTGATAAGTGAACTTGACATTTAGGAGCTTTCTTCTCCTCCAACTCTTGCCAGCTTGAAAAGTCAAAATACCCTCTGATCGTGCTGCAAACTTAATGGTTTTGAAGCAGAAAGGGTTATTTTACCTATGCAATAAAGATTCAGTGGAATAAAAGTGAACTTGAGATGCATGATAATCATGTAAGCTCTTGTCTTTGACTGTTTGCGCATAATAATTTTTTAAAACTTTCATGGTGCTATAATTTATGTTTGCTGAAATAAACTAACATAGGTTAGCATTCTAGCATTTGTCTGAATAGACATCAAATTATTATTCAATAAAATGTTTGCATACCTTACAGTGCAATAATCTACGCACATCTACTCAAAAGTAAATCTCTCTGAGTTAAATGGGACTTTTAATCCCAAGTAAGTGCACTGGAGAGCAGACCAAGTGCATTCTGCTATATTCTGACATTCCTTTTTGTTACATGAACTAATTCAGTAACTGAAATTGGTATATACACTATTCAGTCCTAATGTTTGTTATTTACTGCATTAGAAAAGCAATTGCCTTTCTTCTACACAAAACCTTATCATTGCAGTAACAGTTATTCAACAGAAATATTTCCCCCCCCCCGTAAATATTGACTCATTTGACCTTCAGTTCCAGCATATCACTTAACTTAGAACTACTAAACTATTCCATCACGCTTAGAAAGGGAAAATTAATAAGTATCAATAAAACCTCCGTTTTAGAATGGGAGGTTTCCATAGTATCACAAGGCTATTTCTAAAGACTTACCTTTTCTTTGCAGCTGGAAAGCATGCTAATAATGCTAAGACAAACTGATTGCACTGAAAGAGCTGGAGACCAGTCTTCTGTTAGAATAGATAAACAGATATGACCATTGCTATAAACATGAGGATGAATGGGAATATTTTCACCAGTAAACATGACCTAAAAATAAAATAAAGAATTGATATATTAGCATTTTATTGACAGTATCTCTCTCTCTCTCTATATATATATATAACATCAGCTACAATTTACTTATTTGAGAGGGAAATTACACAGTTTATATAACTTCCATGTTTTATGACATCAGTCATTGGACCAAAACATGCCTTATGAAAAGACATAATTTCAACCAAACTAAATATTCCATACTCATTATTCCTTTTCCAATTTTGGAAAACACATCAATTACATCCTACTTTCCCTATCATGTAATATGTAGGTTTTAAAGTCTATTACTTAGTCATCCACTATGTAATAAATGGGATTTCTCTTCTTCTTTTCCACATACAATAATTCCTAAGGTATGATTTCAGATCTTCTTTTATTCCATGCACACAACACAGATTTTGCTATTTCTTTATTTTGCCCAAGATAAGGATATTGTTTAATTATCAAACTCGTTGGCCGCTTGTTACACAATAAGGCGTCCAATCAATTTACATCATATTTAAATACATGAGCAAAAGTAAAAATACATTATAACATCAACACGTTCACATAAAAACACATGCAATTCATGAAAAATACACAAAGCTTCTCCTCACCCTCAATAACAAAAGCAGAAAACCGTGGCAGCACACTAATAGTGAATAACGTCATCATGGTCTAAGAAGAAAAGGTACTGTAGTATTTTACCTAGCACCAAAAAGATGTCAACGAACATGCCAGGCAGACCTCATTGAAAAGCAGTCCACAAAAGGAAAGTCCTTAACCAGGCCCATGCAGAGGGTTGGGCAGCTGGGTATACATGCCCTGGTCCTCAGAGGGCTAAGCTGGCTTGGGGGCCCCACCAAGGACTGACTGCTTTTTTCTTTTTGAGTTTATAACTTTATTCTAATATAAATGCAGGTATGTCCCAGACAATGTGCAGCATTTTTAGGTTTCAGTGAAAAGCAGCTAGCCATGTTACATATAAACTTTAATCCAGTTTGCTCCTGTTTAGCAAGCCATTTTTGAGTCACAGGCACGAAGGTAAATCTCTGAGTGCTAAGAATAAGGCATAGAGATAAGGCATGGTTCACAGTCAGTTGCTGGAACCAGGAATGCTACTCAAAATGTCAATATTACTTGCCATGGTGGATTATTAGGTGCTCAATTTATGGCTAAACTATTCTTATTGCTCGGGAGACAAAGAACGAACAAGTGAAATCTTCAATGATCCATTGGGCAACAAATATTAGTCATAATGTAGAAATGGATGTTGTACGGGAACGTTTATGGAACGTGGATATAAAATTTACAGCAATGTTATAGTTCAAGAGAAAACTATATGAAAATGGTATATAGATAGTACCGAACGCCTAGTAGATTGGCAAAAATGTATAAATCGAAATCGATTATGTGTTGAAAATGTAACGAGAAAGTTGGTACCTTTTTCATATGTGGATGGTACCTTGTAATTAACCTTATTGGGAGATGTTATATAATTAACTGAAAAAGATGTTTAAGATAACATTTAATTTTTAAAAAACCCAAAAGCTTTTTTTGGAAATTATGGGATCAGAACCATGTAAACTGTATATAAATTTATTTATGTATGCAGCCACAGCTGCAAGAATGTTATGTGCCCAAAAATGGAAGGAAGAAGAGGTCTTGACAAGAGAATAATGGAGACAAAAGTTAATGGACTATGGAGAAATGGCAAAACCTACAGGGAGAATAAGAAATCAAGATAACCATTTTTTAAAAAAAGGAATGGAAATGGTTTACAGTTCGTTTGTAAATACTCAATAAACAGATTAACACATTGGCAGGATTAATGTAAAAACCTGCAGTTTCAAAATATATATGGGATATATATGGGAATAGATATATAAAATAATATGTTGAGATAATTTGGAGTATGCAGGAAGATGAAAAGAAATGTAAAGAACCTCAGAAAGAGGGGGTAGGGAGTTGGAGTTTGAAATGTTAACATTATGATTGAATAATTGTTGTAATATATATAAATGAAAATTATAAATAAAAACAAACAGCACTTACTGCCAGAAAAAAAAACTATTCTTATTGCTCCCTGAAGAGATAACACAATGTGTGATATCCAATTGTAGCATCCCACTTATGCACAGAGGCCTTCCCCTTCCCTATGTAGTGCCAAAATCTGCTTCACAGGATTGGGGAACCCTCCAGAGCAGGGGAGGAGAGAAAAAGGGAAATTCCACAATATCTGCTGGAGTGGCAATGACTTTCGCCCAGTGAGTTGTAATCAATGTATAATCAACTTTTGCTACACAAGTGGTTTAAAATTGAAACTAAATATATGATAGTGTAAGTTACCTGAGGAGAGTCAAATGGATACCGACTACTGAATTTAAATAGCAGCTGAAATTTCTCCCCTTCATATAATGTTCCAGGAGCACCTTCCATGTCTACAATCCATCTTTGGAAATAAAATAAATTACACAACACAGAGAAAAAAATTAGTAACTCAATATATCTAGTGGAGGTTTTGAGTTCTAATTTGCAAGCAGCTGTTTCCTACACTGAAAAGGGCCTTCTTTTAATCTCATAGTGGCAAAAAGCAACTTTCAATGTTGAGGAAGGTCTAATGCTTACAGAAAAAAATCTTTAAAAGTCCCATTGCATGAGCTAATCCTTGGCCATGTTTAAAGGAAGTCTCTGAATTGTACATTCAGTCTACCACCTCCTGCCAGCAGAACTGTGCCTGATATCAAATTTGGACTATAACCCTTTCAAATTTCTAATAACAAATAATATTAGCTATTTCAAAGTGGGAGGGGTAGACAGGTAAATTGCAATTCTAGCAAGAGCTGCTTTTGTTTAAATTGTGAATATAAATTGTAAATTACTGTCCTGATGTACTTTTGACAAAAATTATGAATACATTCATAATTAATCAAGAGCAATGAAGATTTAACTTTATTGAAAGTTAGAGGCAATAGCAAGAAATCTTTTGTGATGCCAACCCCAAAACCTGAACTTCTTATTTCATGGGGAAAAAAGGCTGAAGGGTTCTCAATATTCACAAAACTACCAGAACCACATACCATTCTTTTCTATAAAAAGGGATGCCCTTGTAAATCATGTCTCCAAGTGAGCAATGTTTGTACCTAAATCACTTGAAGCTGACAGCACCAGCCAGTCACCCATGCATTGCTGAAAGCAGTTCCTAATTCAGTTGTGTAAACTATGTGTACAGTTCTGAATATTGGACACCTTGATGCTATACTGACAACTGTGTCCACAGCTCCCTTCAAATAAGTCAACAAACATGAACACAAATATTTATAGAATACAGAACAATTGTCCATAGGTTTTTTGCCCTTTCACTTTATAATTATTTCAGTACCTCACATGAAAAGGTAGAAGAAAGAAAACCTTTAAAATCAGTCTGCATTCCAACTGTGGAGTTTTGTGACTCAATTTAGAATGAACAGCCCCAAAACTAGATAAAAAGCAGAACAATCTAAATTTATTCATTTAAAAATGCCATCTTGGGCATTTTTTATGGAAAGGCAGGATATAAATATAACAAATAAAGAAAACGTCTGTAACTTTACTGTCACCCAACTATTTTGAGAGTAACAGAACAACTCCAGCTGCTGATTGTGTGAATCCAATACTTACTATAGACTATATCCAATGCTATAGCTCAGCAGGCACGTGAGACTTCTGCAAGCACAATGAACTTCTTTCTCTCCTGTTTGCTCCCTTTTGTCAAAATCTGCTTCAGAGGGGTTAGGGGACCCTTCAGAGCAGACCTGGGGGCACATGGCCTGAGGAGAGGAAATGCAAATCCCATTGCACCAGCGTAACCCTGTGCAGTAGCACTGGATACATCCCCATATTTACACTATACCATACTTGCAAATATATTTAATATAAATGCATAGGTCAATAACTATGTATAAGTATACTATAACAAGCTTGCAAATATAATTAATGTACATGCATAGGTCAGATATTGTACATCTCACAATTTTTTAAACAGTATATTGTTAGGAAAACACAACATCCTGCCCATTTTCAGTTTCACCTAGAAAAGAAATTATGAAAATGTAAACACACTGACTGTGTAATTGAATTCTGGACACTCTTTTCATTCAAAGTCATTCCTGGCGGTGGGTCATTCTGTAAAGCCAACAGTTCTTTCTGTAGCCTCTTCTAAAAAAAGAAAGGAGGAGGAGCTTTTTAAATATTTCATAAAGAATATATTCCTTTCAGTTGTAACTGTTTGGTACATATTACTGCTGACCAACAAACAGTATTCCAAAAAGCTTACATGATACATGTCAAAAATTTATAAAAAATATTCATATCATAAAAGACTGACGTGTCAATGCTAAGCCACTGGTCTAAACTTTTAATTCTGTATGACATTTCTGGAAACATCTTCTGAGAAGTGTAACAACTTATTTTCCTTTGGTACTATTAATTCCATATAGTGGTGTATAGCATTAATATTCAGAGTGATGAGCAGCTTCTTTTTAAAAAAATGTAGCCAAGTAGTCAAGAAATGGAACACAACCTCTGCATCGCCAGTGGAACTTGGGACTTGTATTTCACAAATAGTCACCCATACTGTATGGAGAAACCACATAAGAAATGGAGGGACTTTCCGCTTTATGGCACAGGGAGGTGGTGTTCACTGAGAGTTTTGAAGGCCCTGAGTGTGCCTAAACTATTAAACTATTGTGGCCTGCATCTGGAGAGTCTCCTTTTTGAACTTCAGTCTCTTCAAAATTCCTTTGTTACAATGAGGGCTAGAGATTTTATTTTAAAATTTATCTCAAGATTTTACTGGGTTTAGAGATTATGCAAAGCAGACTTCCCTTAATATTGGCATTCTGGCTTTGCTTAAAGGTGCAGGAAGCCTAAAACAGGAAGAAAAGGGAAATACTATTAATAGATGCTGCCCTGGATCCTTCTCATACTAGGAAGTGGGGTGGGGGGAATTGAAATCCGAACCACCAACACAGCATGGTTAGGTGGCAATGAAGAGTTTTGCATAGTGATGTTAAAAAAAAAAAAGGTTGCCAACATATTTTATTGTGTTGTTGCTATTTTAATTATTGTTTAACTGAAATTTTGTACTTTTTCTGTTTAAATTAACTGTTGTACTCTACCCTGGGACTCCAGCATAAAGAGTGCATGAAAATGTACATAATACCTTGTAAATTATACTGCAATCCTAAACCATGTCCTAACTCTAACCATGTCAACTCAAAAGTTTGTCCTATTTAATTCAATGGGGCTTACTACCAGGTAAGTGGAATTAGGGCTGTGCAGCTTAAACCATGGTTCGGATTGTGGTGTTAGTCACTAACTTACAACTGAAGAACACACAGTCCTTCTGTTCATTTCAGGTGCAGGCTTTTAATATGGAAAGGAACTGTACATTTTATGTCAATGAAACAAACATTGGCAGGTTGCTACATTGTAAAAGAAATCCCCAAACATAAGCGGAAGAGGAAGTTTTCGCAAATTTACATTGATAATTGGTATTTCTGTTTCTAGAGAACAGTAGCAGCACTAGCAGCAGTCACAAGTTACACACAAGCTGCAGAGACAAGTTTTGTCCTTTACCTATAGGTATTTTTTAAAAAATGCTCAGGCTTCAGTTGTTCCCCAATGCATTCTCTTATTTTATACTGTATCACAGACCTACTCAGGAGCTACAGAAGTAACAAATGACTAAATTGTTTACTTAAAACAAGGGGAAAGAATTCAACCCCACCCTTTTTACACCCAAATTACTAGGTTATTAGCAAAAAGAGAATATTTAAAGGAAATTAGAAGCAAAATGAATGGATTAGTACAAGTTTCTGTAAAAGTCGAATACAGTATAAAATGATTAGACAGTAACACATTAGACACAATTATGGCAGCCTTGAAATACAGGGTCAGCAACTATGAAAACAGGAAAGCTGGAAGGTAAAAATTAAGGTTATCCTGGTACATATCATCCCTTAATTTCACATGGTGAACTATCTGTGCTTTCTCTCTGCCCTACCTCACATCTACTACATTCAACACACTTTATTCAACACACTTTATTAATAAATTTGCTTTACTTTCAAATGCAAAGCAAGGCATGATTTGTTCTCATGTAAGGACACAGCATCCATAGGGAGACAGATCCCTATAGAGCTCAGACTTCTATTTTTACCGCACAGCACACGCACACAGGTATTACTATGGAGAATGGAAGGTCTGCAAATGCCTACCATATCCCACCACCACCACCACGGTCACTTGAGAGCACAGTCAAAGTTGAATGGAGATATGTGATATGCACATAGACTTCCTATTCCCTGGACTGCTGAGGTGGGTGTGGGGAGAAAACAGATTCCAGCAAACCTTATAGAGATCTCTTCTCAAAGGCACTGTGTCCTTCTAGACTCAAGGAAATAGATTTTGCCACTGGAATACAATCACAGTTTTATCAAATATTTAACACTAAGCATTTGGCATATATTTAGATCATGTGCTCTAACATGCAACATGAGGATGACCTATACAGAAGTTTTTAAAGCACTCTTTGAAGTGGCAGCATAGTTTAGAACTGTTTTAAATGTGCTTTATAGTTTTTAATAATAAAATAATAATAATAATTTTTATTTATACCCCTCCCTCCCCAGCCAAGGCCGGGCTCAGAGCGGCTTACAAGCAATAATAAAAACAAGTTGAATGATTACAACTTAAAAACAAAATTAAAATACAACATTAAAATATTGAAACATGAAAATATTAAAATGTAGCCTCCTCGCAGGAGGAGAAAGAAAAGAAAAAAGAAAGAAAGAGAGGGAGGGAATCAAATTGGCTCCAAGCCAAAGGCCAGGCAGAACAACTCTGTCTTACAGGCCGTGCGGAAAGAAATCAGATCTTGCAGGGCCCTGGTCTCATGAGGCAGAGCATTCCACCAGAGTTGAAAAGGCCCTGGCTCTGGTTGAAGCCAATCTAACTTCCTTAGGGCCCGGGACCACTAGGGTGTCGCTATTTATGGACCTTGAGGCTCTCCGTGGGGCATACTGGGAGAGGCGGTCCCGTAGGTACGAGGGTCCTAGGCCGTGAAGGGCTTTAAAGGTAAAAGAAGCACCTTAAATCTGACCCTGTACTCTACCGGGAGCCAGTGCAGTTTGAAAAGCACTGGGTGAATATGCTCCCATGGTAGAGACCCCGTGAGGAGCCTCGCTGCAGCATTCTGCACCCTCTGGAGTTTCTGGGTCAGCTTCAAGGGCAGCCCCACGTAGAGCAAATTACAGTAGTCAAGCCTGGAGATGCCCATCGCATGGATCACTGTGGTGAGTCCCTATCGATTTCATAACAAATGCCCATGTACCTCTTTGAAAGACAATGGAAAGTTACCCTTTCCTGCAGGAAAAACCTTCCATTTAGTTTCAACTCTCCTTTTTCTGGTCAAGTCGCTCAGAGTGAATGATAGCAGGCCAATTTAAAGTGGCCTCAGATGAAAAATTATTGGGCTACAGTTCCCATCTTCCATGCCTACTAGCCACGCTAGCTGGGGCTGATGTGAGTTGTACTCCAACAACAAATGGGGTGTGCTATGTTGGCTGCCCTGACACATTTCAGTCTGGCTAGTTCTGAGAACAAGACTGCCTCAGATGCCTAAGTATACAATCTAAGCAAGCAGTTGGTAGTGGGGAGGAATGTATATTTGGCTAGACAGTATCCTTGATGGGATGGTTACTTTTATGTCTTTTTCATTGATATTTCTGGAAGTTTTGCCTGCTGAGGTAGTACAATTACACACACACACACACTGTTTTGTATTATTATCTTGCTTTCATTTTTGTATATTTTATTCTGGAGTTCCACAGTGAGGACATTACTATCAGCACCAGTTGTGCCTACATTTGTAGCAGCCCTGTGAGGAAGGTTTTGAAAACCAGTCCTACTGCAGGGCACCAGTGGTGGTGACCCAGAAGGGGACAGCACCAAAGGAAGTTGCCTTTGGGACTGGAAGGCATGCCCATTAAATATGTATTTGGATAGGCAGGGAGGTGGGGGATACTGGAGCTGATGGTGTTACCTTTTGCAGAGTCCTAGGCAGATGCAGATACGACAGTGGGAATTGGAAAGGTCAGGTGAAGGGAAGACAAGGCATTGCATGCTCTCTCACTTTCAAATCCTTCCTTTAACCCTACATTTCCTGGTACACATGACTGCAACTCATCAAGCTTGCAAGTGCTTCTCCTGAAAGCTAGGCTGATGAATGGTAACACTGCTGCCATCAGGATTTAATCCTGGATGAAGATGCTGATTATTACAGAGATAGGTTGGATGATGGTGGTGGTGAGGTTATCCTCTCCCAATTTGCTTACTGAGTTCCTAGGTACAGGATCAGCATGAATAGGGATCAACATTGTCATGGTTTATCAATGTTTCACTCACTCAGCCCAACAATCCACTGAATATACTAAATATTCGTGCGCACGTAGTGTTGACTTCTCAAAGCAGAATAGTTTCTGCCTGTTTGCAGCCCACTTTACCATCTTCTAGTCTCCATTTCTCAACTGAGACAAATATTCATGCCAATGCCACCTTGAGAAAAACAGCTCAGGACTTCTTGTCCCCCACAACAACCCTAAGCCTCAAATGATATTCAGCCTGGCATATGCTTGATTCATTGGTTTCATTGCTACAGACAGATAATTACCTAGTCAGATTTGGGCTGCTTTTGGTACCTGCAGGGATTGAGTACCCATTACATAGGCTGCTACTGAAAGCTCATGAAGCCAAATGCATTCCTGAAGTCCTTTTAGATTTTCCTACTGATATGCCTGGTGGTTCTGTCACGGTCCTGACTGATCCTTGGAATAGAAAAATTACCCATTTATTCCCAAAGACTTATTTGTAGAGTTCATCTATCTCTTTGGTTTCCAAGGAGTTGAGAATGTAACAAGAATACAAACATAACAGCCTAATCTGTATTCAGGGGCATCTAATAGAGCAATTCTGGGTGGTGAAACCCCTTACAATTTGTCTAGGAAGGAAACAGATAGAAACTTTGGTGGTCCACTCTGACTATTATGCAGATAAAATTACTTGCATCCATTCCAAGTTGGATTTCATTTTTCAAACAAAATGGGAGATGTCAGATGCTGTGGATACCTTTCAAACTGTTGGCCAAGATGACATGGACACTCTCCTTAGAGAAGCAAGACTCCCACATTTATGAAGCAGGCCTCTGGATCAAGGTGTGATTTCACTGCTTACATTGCTCATTGCATCACCTACATCAAACAGGCAGTGGGTGCAATCAAGCTTGAAACAGTGAATACATGCTGGTGAAACTTGTGGAAGGAATGCACACACAATTTCAAAGGATTTCCAACCATTGCCATTGGGGTGGAGAACATTGTGCAGATGGTCAGGCAAATGGGTGGTGGTGGTTTTGTGGACCTCATCCAGGAAGAAGTGGGAGAACTAATTGAGGGTCAACAGGTATTGCCTATTGAAGAGCTAGAGGAACTGGTCAGATCAAGTTCAGAATGTGATGATGAGGATGGCAAGCATGAGCCAGAAATTTTCTCAACTCTTCTAAGTGATAAAGCACACAAATGATCTGACTGCAGAATTTGACCCTTCCATGGAACACAGCCTCAAGATCATCCATGGGATTACAGATGCTCTCAAGGAAATGTTTGACAAGCTCAAGACACAACAGCAGCAGCTGCCAATCATAATGTTCCTCACAAAGAATCACCAGCAGCAGCACTAGATGTGGCCATGCCTCTGGATCTGAACCACAACCAAGCACTTCTGGCTACCAGTCAACCCCCTGGTCCTAATATCATCTGAAGCATCATCCAGTGACAGAGAGGAGGAGGAAGACTAAGAGCTGCATTCATCCCTCATCTGTAACTGCAACGATGGTATTCTAGGGGTTGTTCCAGCTTTACACAATTTTACTTATACGCAAGATGGCCAGGAATGTAACTTGCACATAAGATGCAGTTCTCCATTATGTTGAAACTCAGAGAACTGTTTAAAATATAGTTTTGAACAAGTCAGATTTTGAAAGCATGGTGTGTTCCTGTCTATTCCACTTATCTTTCTTAACACCACAGTTCACTGAGTCTAGGTGTTACAGGAAACTAGTTTGTTTAAAATGAAGTGAAATTTTCTAATATCCTTCTTGTGCGCATGGAAGGGGAGGGCAAGGGAGAGAGGAATGCCTAATGACAAAACAACTCACTCCCATTCTAGGAAAGGTTATGGTTTCTCATTATATCTGAACCAATCCAAAAAGCAATGTGGTTTCACATGTCCAATTACAATGAGTCAATTCTTGACATATGTTCCAATCCTAAACTGTTTAATCCTAAAATGTGTTCAGAGCAGAGCATAATCTCATAGTGCTACATCATATTATTAGGTAGGTATTTCATGATGCTACATGCATTTCTTATTTTCCTTCAGCTGCATTTCATTTCAGTGTATTATACATACACTGTGTGTGTACATACCACACACATACACACACACACACACACAAAAACCCACATCAGATTTTTTAAAATAGCACAGTTAAAATTAAGCGAGAATTAGTCGCCCTAGGCCATCTAGCAAACTTCATGGCTGAATGGGGGTATGTATCAATGTACCATCATGCACCCACTGCATTAAGATTAGCTTACTTCCTGCTTAGACACCACCTTCAATTGCTAGAAGTGGTCAAATAGATTATGAAACACACACAAGTTAAACTGCTGGTTTTAAAATATTCAAACATTATTGTTTTTTATTTGCTTAGTAGGAGACTTGCATGCAACACAAAAGAATAAACAAAAGTTTAGCTCTCTAGGCCAGAGCTTTCCAAACTGTGTGTCGTGACACGTTAGTGTGTCAGCTGCAGTGTGTAGGTGTGCTGCACAATGTTCCCCACAGTCCTTGGGATTGGAAAGGAGTTAGTTTCATCACCAATTTGCTTGTAAAACTGAACTGCTGTGTTGCGAAATGATGCATGTCTAAAAGTGTGTCACCAACATGAAAAGTTTGGAAAGTTCTGCTCTAGGCAATTAAACTGGTGCAGTGCCATAGAAAATGCAGAATTCTTTTATAAATGTGGCCTCTTTGGGCAATTTCTTGCTACTAAATATCTAGTGCCCCATACTAGATACAGTAGAGAAGACCAAAGTGGCAAGCCCTCTCCTGAGATACAGTATACCCTGGCAAACAGGGAAGTGACACCAATAATTGAATGAATTACACATTTAAATTAAATATGTCATCAGATGAATTATTCCCTAAGACTGAACGGAATACAAGAGTGTTCAAGAGTGCTATACAGACATGAAAGCTGGAAATGATGTTAAATACCTTCACTTGATTCTCTGATCAAATTGCCTAGGGAAATAAGGTATCTCTAGCATATTATCCAAAAGTTTAATCAATACCCCTGACAGCACAGTATCCACAATAAGAAACAAGAGCTGAATTTCACAATGCCAGAAAGTTACCAAGAAATTAGAACAAATACAACACAATTTCTATCGTGACTAAAAGTAGTGCACTTTAACGATCACAGAACTGAGAAACTTGCAAGTTCTCATTCTGCAGTGTAAACGCTAAGGGAAATGTAAAAGAAGCTGAGTGGTAGTGATGGAGTGGGGAGAACCCACAAAAACATTAATGTTCTGTGAATCCAAAAAAGCCTTCATCTAAAAGAACTATTCTCCAACTGCTCCAACGCAGTTTTACAAGTCAAGTTCTTGAAAAAAAATTGGCAAATTTAATCTCCAATCTGGTATTATTTAAACTGAATATAAATAAGGTTTAGATTTTTGTCTCTCCATCTGTTTGGAACATTAGATGCCTGTTCTGCATGTTTTGTTTAATCTTGCTTCACATAATTTAAAAATATCCTTTGTTCTTCGATATTAAAATATGTAGTTACTGTACTTCTTATATTTTAACATCAATTCTAAATTGAAATCACATACATATCGTCCTATGTTTTATATTTTATGTAGACTGCTCAGAGGTTTTGATGATTAATCAGTATATAAATCCTTGTTTCTTTGTTTTAAAAAAAGGCACAACACTGGATGCACTGCTTATTTCAGCTTTCATCCAAAAGCAACAGAAAGCCCAGTGGAACATTAAAAGACATTAGTATTGTAATGTGTGTTTTTCACAGGCAGCCCTATTTCATAGGATGATGTACTTGTCTAAGCTGGTCAAGCTTGTAAGTCCACCTCTATGGGTTGTAGAGCCATTGAAGACAATAGGACATGACTGATTTCAACGGGTCTATTCCGAGTACAGTGGTACCTTGGTTTACAAACTTCCTGAAGTCCGTTCTTAAACCAAAGCATTCTTAAACCAAGGTGTGCTTTCCCATAGCAGTGGGGGACTCAATTTATAAATGGAACACACTCAACAGGAAGTGAAACATGTTCTTGTTCCAAGGCAAAGTTCACAAACCAAAACACCTACTTCCGGGTTTGCCGCGTTCTTAATCCAAGTTGTCCATAAACTAAGCTGCTCTTAAACCAAGGTACCACTGTATAACTTTGTCTACAAAGGGCTGTAGCCCAATACCACCACACGAGGTAATAATGATATAAATAAATGGTGCTGATTTGTTGATTTCGTAGCCTAGCATCTTTCCTAAACTGCTTCTCATGCACCATCACATCAGTAATCCCACAAAGCAGCTCTGTGGTGGGGCGAACTGCGGGACCTTTTGGTGAAGGACAGATCTGAACAGGAGATTTCACACCAAACAAGCTTGCTCTCCTTTTTGAAGTCTGAAGGACAAGGCACAATAGGTGAGAAGGGGTGGGGGTGGGGTGGGGGGCGGAGCGGGAGAGAAAGAGAGAAACGTCAAAGCATCAGGCAGAGGACGGCGCTACCGTCGCTGCTCCTTCCTAAAGCAAAACATACAGTGACTAACGTATGCAATAAAAAAAAAGAAGGACGTCAGAATGACTTTCCACACTTCTTGACTTTGAGCGACCCTCCTCCTTAAATCATCCCCTCATGGATCGCCACCCCACCCCCCAAACCGCCCCGTATCAGCCCTGCACTGAAAATCACCCTGAAGAAAAGGGAGAAGTTTAAAGGGAAACCCTGAGGTGCGACTAGACCTGTCACAGCAAAAGCCAGCAAGGCCCATTCAGCTCTCCGGCGCCGGCGCCTCCTCCTGCCTCCCCAGCAGCTGCTGCAGCAGCCCGGGCCAAGCCACCCCAGCCCTAAACCACACCTAAGGGAAGAAGAGCCGGGGGTCACGCACCTGCTGGTTCCTGGTACCGGCCCAACCTGGAGCGCGCGCACCTAGCCCCCCCCCCCCGCGACCCCCAATAAAAGTCCGGCTGCTTTTGCCCCAGCTGAGGGAAGGGCTTCCCTTCGGCCTCTCCCCAACCCCTCGCTCGGCTCCCAGGCTCCCCTCGCTCCGGCGCCCAGTTCCTCATACGGAGTCCCTCCCGCCGCTCGCCCAGGAAACGCCACAACAGCCGCCGCTTCCTCCCCGGAGCCGCATCCACAGAAAGCAGCGCAGCAGCAGCAGCAGGGGCACGAGAGGAGAGCCGCCCCCGCGCCAACCGCCGCTCTGCCCTCCCTCCTTCCCCCGCCCGTCGGCCCCGCCGCCTTCTTTCTGCCCCCCCCCCGTCCCCCCTCTCTTTCTCCCCTCTACACCTGGGGACGAAAGGACACGCCGCCCCAGCCTGGCCGCCGCAAGCTGCTCACCTGCATAGACGCCATGATGGATCCGCCTCCCTCCCTCCCTCCCCCCCCTCTCTCTGAGCCGCCGGCCCGGGCCGGGAGGGAGAGAGAGAGAGACAGAGACAGAGGCGGAGAGACGCAGCGCGGCGGCGGCGGCGGCGGCGGCAATAGCGCCGGCACCCTTTCCTCGCCTCCTCCCCCACACCTCGTCCGGGTCACGTGGGCGCTCCGGCCAGCCCGAGGAGAGAGCGCATGCGCCGGGAACCGCTGCCGCGGTCGCTTCCAAGTAGGCGAGAGGGACAGTTCCGAGCGGACGTCGAGAATTTCCGTCCTTCGAAAAGCGGGGCGCCAATGTCGGCTGCCTGAAACGGTTCTCGCCTAGATCTCCTTTTTCTCTCATTTTTTGTGGTTGTTTAATCTCTGCTTCCTATTAAATCGAAAATAAAGGCGGCTTACAAAAATTAGAAACCCAGTTTTTTTTAATCTGTAAGATGCCCCGAGTCCGTCAGGGGAAAAGGCGGGGTATAAATAAACATATAATTCTAAATAATAATCTTACTTAGATGCTGAGTGCCATCCTGGTGCAACCAGAGGAAAATGTTTAAGGTGAGGGTTTCTAGGGGCAACCCAGCAAAGTAAGGCAGACCTCCTACAATCTTGTCCCTGTCCTTTAGGGCAGAGGTGGAGCAGCTGTGGCCCTCCAGTTGTTGTAACTTCCATGGTCTGTAGTTGTGCAGATGATGATGATGATGATGATGAATTTAACTACTACTACTGACAATACACTTTTAAATTCTGAACATGTATTTGACCAGCACTGCACAAGTAAAATAATATTTGAGCCTGAGTCTAAGTTTACTTAGTGAAGTTCTACTGTATTCCATAAAGTTATCAAATAAGTGTACACAAGGCTACCTACTATATGGGAGCCTTTCCAAGTTCTACTCATGTCACATTGCTTTTTGCAAACTGTTATATATGCTATCTTGTGATTTGAAACACAAGAATGACTAAATCCCAATTCCCCTGTTCTGCAGGATGTTTTGATTTTTATATTACTAAAAGTAAATGAGATGTTACTCTGTTTTACACTCTTACCTGCTGTAAGAAAGAAACCAGGAAGTACTGTGGTGGCATTCATATTTCTTGTTAAATATTTCTGTATATTAAAAAACTCAGTGTACATTCCAAGGAGTCTTGTTCAATAGCTTTCACCCCAGCTGTTCTTGGTCCCCAATTATATTTATTAAAAAGAACCAGCTAAACTCCATTTGGTTACCTTTCTATGGTTTGTGATTAGTTCTGAGGGACTTACTTCCTACAGAAAGCACTAAGAATTTCAGCAGTGCAATCTGATTGTATGTATGTTTTCTCAAAAAGTTAAGCCCCCTGTGTTGATTAGGGCACACTTCTCTACGCACAATTACTGAGGAATAAGCCTTATGCAGCTCAGTTGACTGCTGGGTAAACAAACACTACATGGGCCTTCATGGCTGCAGTCCTAAACATACATGGCAGTTAGCTCCATTGAACTCAGCAGGGCTTGAGTAAATACACAGAGTATCAGGCTGTACTGGCCGCCTGTAATGAAAAAGCAGAGAAAAGAAAAAGGAAACCATTAACTTCAATAACAAATAACCTTTCTCTTTTTGAAATGCTACTTACACTGAATATATTTAGATGTGATTTATTATAGAAATAGAACATATGTTAAAAATGTGGCTGTCTGGCTTATTGTGAATGCATCATTCCTTTTAGTTTTCTGCAACTTTGAACCTGACGAGAGACAAAGAGTTTTATTATCCTTAATAACTGCAAATATCTCTTCTGCCAGTGTAATGTCGGTCCCATCAAAATCTGAATTTGGGCAGAGAGAAAGTAGTCAGAGCTAGGGAGTTAAAAATAGGATGCAGCTGCGGGATGGAGGGTGCAGATATTGTTTGGGAGAATCTAGTCCGAGAATAACAGTCATGCTAAAATGACAAGCCCAGTTTGCTGGAGAGGGTGTGGGTGAATGGATATATAATTCTATATGTGGTGGTTTTGCCCTGTTATTTAGTCTTTTTGGAAGAAAATATTTTATGAAACAGGCTAGTTTTACAGCCCTAACTTTATTTACGGACCTAATGATGGTCCTATTATCCTTTTTCAATGGTTTGTAAACAGAGGTTTCTAGTAAAGGGCTACTTTATTTCTTTAATTAAATTTATATACTTGGACTTCTGTTTGCAGCACCCAGGCTCACAGTTGCCAAACACTGGAAGTCAACTGCAGGAGACTTGCAAAACTATTGGTACCTCTATATCTGGACCATTGCTTTAATGGAAAAGTTGACAAAATATACACAAACCCTACGCAGTCCATTTTATAATGTTTGGCATCCATTTATTGAATACATTAAAGTTAAAAGAAAATGATTGACAGCCTCCCTCTTCTCATGGATTCCTATGGAAAAACATTATTGGATAATATGCTTATGAAGGACAATTGTCTGGAACTATAATGCTATTTTTGGAATACTACCACTCCCTCCTCTTCTCATATCCTTCCTTTCCTTTCTTGCTTTGAACATGCCTCTTTCTCTTTATTATTGTTATGATTGCTTTTTGTATATTAGAAAATAAAAGAAGAAAAAGATTACAGAAAAAAGAATAATTCATACAACCTGCATTTGGAGTCTGCTAGTGTCCAATATGTTCAATTTGTGTATTATAAAGACACCCTTAACTCCATTGTGTTCTCATCAGCAAACTGACACTGCAAAGAGGCTACCCACAGAAATTAAGTGAAGAGGCATGTGTCCGCCCCACCACAAAAAATTGTTAACATTACTTTGTATTTCAATAATAAAATTCAATGTCCAAGATTAATTCAGAGTTAAATTTAGCATGGAAACTGCAAAAATTATCAAAATATCCATAGGCACTATCTGTTCTAGAATTGTACCAAATAAATTGTTTTTCTGTAAAATATTTATTGATGTGTTCCTCCCATAGATGTTTATAGATAGTAGTCTTGTTAATTAATATGATCATCCAACTTTCCTTCTCCAAAGTCCCATGGTGTTAAAAGTAGTTCTTCACACTGGATTATTCATTCATTTTAATTATTTCAATTTCCTGTCAATATGTACACGGAAATTGACAGGTTTTATGTAACCTTACATTCTCTGTGCATTCTGAATCAGTAGGGCTTCTAATACAAGCAGTAAAATCAGTCTCTTTTGTGTGCTGGTGATTTAAAAACATTGTCCAAAAAGAAATTTTCCCCATGGAAAAGAAAGCACTTATAAGAATAACCATAATTAATGGCAAATGACAAATAACCACGCCTGGAAATTGCATGACAACCTTATGTTTACTCAGAAATACATTCCACTGTCTTCAATGGCTTAGATCCCAAAATAAATTCACAGAAATTTTCTATTACTTCCTCTACCCTGCAGTCACCTGTGGTTCCCCAAAAGCCTCTGGTAGGTAGACTCATTGAAATTAATGAACTTAGTTTCATTATATTCAATTAATCTATTTTTCATAGAACTAACATTGGCTACAAACCTTTACTTCTATAAATTTCCTGAAGTAAACTTACCTTAGGCTCCAAGCCCAATTTTGGGCAATCCTCCCCTTTCCTCAACAGCCCTTTACACCCCTCAGAAGGCCTCTGGCCCTCCAAAGAGGTTCTTCAGTGGCTGGGCAGGTCACTGCAGAGGGGAGAAAGGGACGAGAAACTTTCTGTGAACTTCCTTGGGTTGATATATATTAGGAACTAAGCCAGCTTGATTTATGCCAAAGTAAATGTGCATTGAATTAATTTTAAAAAGCTGAAAGTAACCCCTGCAATGCATTTAATTCAAAAACATGTACTTCAAACTTCAAAAGACAAACAATTACTTAGGCTCCTAAGACTGCATCTTTTAAAGTCAGAGTAGGTTTAACAATGGGTTCATGGTAATACCTGCTCACCAATGCTTTTGTGCAATATGCCATCTTCTCGCTCATTCATACACATAGGGAATGAGACAGAGACAGACAGTGAGATTTTTATCTCCATTTTCCTTGTTTTAATATGAAGCCACTCTGACAAAAAAGAAAAAATCACAAACATCAAAATGTTTTACAACACAGAAAATTCCATGCTATCTGTTTTGATACACATTTTATGAAAGAATATATAAATTTAGAGATGCCAAGTATGCAGAAAGATGCTATGCACAGAGTGAACATGTGATGAACTACAAACCACACTGATTAATCAGAATGTAGACCCAACCACCGAGTTGGGCATGAGAAGGGGTGGGGGAATGGAGTCACCTTCATTATTTTTCTCAGATCAGGTTATCTAGACTTTCATGGCTTCCAGAACACACCCACTGTGAATCAGTTTTTAACTCTGGCACATAGTAAATAGCACCACCTACTTTAATTAAAGGATCTTCTCACTGCGATTACTCAGTCTTTCCTTTCCCATACATCAGATGGAAAGAGAAAAATCAAATCCAGTTTATCTGTACTCTCTAATTTGCTGATGTACTCGGACATTCCCTAGAGGTTCTTGGAGAGGAACACAAGCCTACTAGGAGAGGCTTTTATAATCTTCATAACTCCAGTGTGGTGTAGTGGTTAAGAGCAATAGACTTGTAATCTGGGGAACCGGGTTCACGTCTCTGCTCCTCCACATGCAGCTGCTGGGTGACCTTGGGCTAGTCACACTTCTCTGAAGTCTCTCAGCCTCACTCACCTCACAGAGTGCTTATTGTGGGGGAAGAAGGGAAAGGAGAATGTTAGCCGCTTTGAGACTCCTTCGGGTAGTGATAAAGCGGGATATCAAATCCAAACTCTTCTTCTTCTTCCTCTTCCTTCTGCCCTTGTGTCTCTGTGAAACCTGTCATGCATCAGTGTTGAAATAGGACCTGGAAGACTAGGGTTCAAATTCACAGTCATGTAGCTCACTGGGCAACTTTAAGCCAGTCAACACTTGTCAGCCTAACTTGCCCCACTATGTTGTTATGAGGATAAAATGGGGCAAAGTTATAAGCACAACCTTCAGCTCCTTGGAGAAAAGGTGGGATATACAGTGGTACCTTGGGTTACAAACACTTTGGGTCACAGACTCCGCTAACCTGGAAGTAGTACCTCGGGTTAAGAACTTTGCCCCAGGATGAGAACAGAAATGGCACGGCGGCAGCGCGGCGGCTGCAGGAGGCCCCATTAGTTAAAGTGGTACCTCAGGTTAAGAACAGTTTCAGGTTAAGAACAGACCTCCGGAACAAATTAAGTTTGTAACCTGAGGTACCACTGTACCGTAAATGCAATGACAATACTGGTTGGATTTGCAGCTGTAAGTTGCTTGTTGAACTGGGGAAGCTGCTCTCTACCTTTGGCTTCCGAGTTATTCATTCTTAGGTTAAGTTTAGAGTAGGCAGCTCCAAGAGCTGTGCTGCTAACCCAGAGGCTTTATAAAACCAGCCATAGTAGCACAGCAGTCCACCTCCAAAGACAATCCCTTCAATGGTGCTGTGG